TCAAGGGATGGTGAAGCCTGTGGAAAAGTTCTATAACTCAATTTACATTTGCTTCACCTTTTTTCCCACGTTTTAAATGCACACATAACTTAGCAAAAACAACAAATCTAAAAAAAGAGAATTATCATGCCTTCGTACCACCTCTATCCCCTCTCAAGCCTTTACCGTATATGTTATTTTACGTAGTTGTAATAACAGCTTAGGTACGGTTTAGCAATTTGCCTGTTTTCATTTAATGTCACTCCAAAGGCACCGCCATTGATATGGTGTTACAATGCAGCATTGAATCTTTACCTCTAACCCTGTTCCGGTTCCCCAGGGGAACCCCAATGCACTGCTGCAGAAGCCCCTCTATGCCGGGTCCGGGGAAGGGGTGAAGGAAGGAGTCCCCTGGCTGCGGCTGCACAGCCAAGGTCTGGAGAGATGGTTCTCTCTGCGGGATATTTTCAAACGAAATGGTTTTTCACTACCCTCAAGGGCCCCTCCTCCTGATCTCGGCAAAATCTACCTGGGTGCCAGGCCCGCAGAGCCTGCACAAGTGAGGTGGCCGTGGGCCACTTTTTCTGCTGTCCTCTGCTGTGGTCTTTCCTGGTGGGCATTTGGGGATGCACTTCTGGATTCCCTCCATTGAGTTTCCACGTTTCCTAAGAGGAAGGTTTACTTCTCTGCCGTCCTCCTACCTCCACTCAATCTTGAGCTTAATTAGGGAGACCCCAAATGAGCCTAGGGCCTACCCCACAGCACCCCAAACCCAGGGGATCTCTGGGTGTGGTTGTAAAATCTTGGGGGAAGTGGCTCGTTCTTCCCCTACTGCTCTAGGTTGGGGCACTGCCCTATGGATTACCCCAGGTGCTAGTCAAGCTCTGCGCTGACCCAGGGGGTTAGGCAAAATGGATTTAGCCTCCTGGAGGTACAGCAGAGCCCAGAGCCGGCTCACAGCAGCAGCTGCATCCCCGAACACGGTCGACGCTCCACTTCTTGCCTGAGGCGAGGGAGCCCTCTAGTGGCAGTAAACGTTTTCTGCAACATTTAGTAGACTTCATATTTGGACTTTTGCTTCTTTGCTTTCTTCAGCCGCCTTCCTCTGGTCAGAAAAGAGCTGTCCCCGAAGTCATCTGCCGACCTAGGACATTGATTAAAGTCTCACACAAATCTGAGGTTGTAAATGTCCCCAGTAGTTGATTTTAGCTTTGTCTGTTTATAATTTAAGCTCTCTCTCCTGAAAGTAGAACGAACACAGGGCTTGGAGTCATACATCCCTAAATTAGAATCCTTGAGCTACTTCGCAGATACTTGACCTTAAAGAGTTACTTAATTCATCTGAGCTTTAGCTCCCCCATAGAACGTGGGGATCGTAATACATTCTTTTAAACGTGCTTTGATAATTACATGAGGAAATGTGTATAAAGGGCATAGAATACTACCTGGCATATAGCATGCATTCAACAAATGTAGCTATTATTATTCACTTACTTAACAACAAATGGTTATTAACAATATGAGGGATATAAGAATATGACAATCCCATTACTACAGCCATGAAAGACTATATGTTGTAACTTTTATTATAAAGCTCCTATGACCAGTTTACATAAAGTGAAATAGGAATTCAGACAAGAGAGAAATCAGTTCTGAGCAGATCATAAGGGAATGGAGGAGTTGAATTTGAGTTTCATGTGGATATTGACTTGCTGGATGGTTCTAAGCAGGGGTCTGAGAATCGAGGAGTAAATGTGTGTTGGAGGGAAGCCGAAGGGTGTTTGGAAGACAGCTGAGGATCCACCATGGCTTGAAAGTCAAGTCCATGAATGGGGGTGGTGGGAAGAGAAAGGAGAGAGTAAAGTAGGTTGGTATTAGGGTCGGACTTCACGAGGTTCAAGGCTACTGGCTTATATGAGTAAACGTGTTTGCGGTTCCGCACTGCCTTAACAACAAACTTCCGAATAATGGCAAGTGAAGGTTCCCATAAAAGGGGAGGAAGGAAAGATTAGTAAGTGTTTTTAGAACATGTCATTTAATCCTTACCACTCCACGTAGCAGGCAGCATTGCTCATTTCTGCAGATGATGAGATGGGCCTTAGAGAGTTTGAGTGACTTGCCCTGAAAGTCACACTGCTATAAGTAGCAGAACCAGGGCTCCAAACCCCATCTGGCCAATGCAAAGCTGAGCCCTTCCTGCTCCAGCACGCCCGTCGCCACAAGTCCTCCAGAAGGCTGACAGACTGTGAGACCATGAATGACTCTCAAAGACAGCCTATGCCAAGTCTTTGGCACCCAGATGGTCCTTCCTCTGTGCACTTTCAACCTGTTCTTCCTTGAGGTGCCCTCTGAGGAGTTTGAAGTCTACCTAGGCATTTAAAAAATTGTGAGCCAGCAGTCAAACCTCTATATTCAGGTTGGTGCCACAGGGCAGGAGCCAACAAGGAGTCTGGAAGATCGGAGCGAGAGGGACGGTGGCAGAGCAGGGGAAGCGTTGGCTTCAGAATCAGGCTGTTGTGAGATAGAACCACACACAGACTGTGAGCCTCAGTTGCCTTGTCCGTAACCTGGGTTCACAGTACCCACTTCTCAAGGTCATTTTAAGGGTGGATGGCACAATGCCTGTAGCAGTAGACACCCTCACTGTATGGTAGTTATTATTACTTAGGAGATCGAGAAGGATGCTTGGTGAGCGGTTGCAGTAAAGAGTGAAGGTAGAAGTCTGCTTGTAGTCTCAGCAGTAAGGGGAAGCTAGTTAGAGAGATATGGCCATGTTTGTAGGTGAAGAGAAATGTTCCATGAAGATCAAGAAGCTGAATGCAGAGGGGACATAGACCTGTAGAAGGATGGAAGAAAGTGACTCCTGGGGAAAGGGAGAGGAGAAGAGAATGGAAACACAGGAGGAATTTACGGGTGTCTTGGGAAGGAGACAATAGCAAAAATGGCAATGCATGGAGGACACCTCCCAGAATGACACCTGCTGGAGTCCCAGAGCCTGCACTGGGAGAGCCAGGCCCTGCTCAGCACTGCACAGGGCTGCTCGCATTGCTCGCATTGTATTTGGGCACCCATCTGCTCCTTGGGATTCCGAGAGAGGGGCATTGGTGGCATGGTCAAGAGCTACTTGATTCAAAGGCTTTCCAGGATCTGGTCCCCACAAGTTCCTCCTGTGGGGAACTTGACACCAGGCCAGACATACCAATGTGCAGCAGTGTGATAGGGAAGTCCCCCCTTGGGGAAGGCACTAAGTTCCCTGGGCTCTCATTTACTCATCTGTAAAATGGGGTCAATCCCAACTGTCTGTCTACTTCCAGGAGTGCCACTGAGGATATGGGAAAAAGCCATATCCCCAAAGAATTATAAAATGTCAGAGATGATGACTGATGCCTAATATAGCTTATAGGTGAAATGGGGTTTTCCCCATTGGCTTCTTTCTCAGAAAAATTTAGAGGAAATTATTTTGTGCTTTGATCTTGGCAGAAAAGCATCGAATAAATTCAAGATGTCACGGTCCATTAGTTCCCCTGCTTTGCAACTGAGGATGACCAATTTTGTTCAAAGCTGGTGACAACCTTTCAGTTGCTTGAAACCCCTGAGTTCCACCGAGTCCTAGCCCCCAAGGCTGTTGCTCTCTGAACCATTCTCACGTAACCATCCCGAAACAGGGCCCGGGGCGATCGGAGGGCCATCACCATTTATGTGACTGTGCTCCTTGCTTGGTACCAGGGTGTCCATTCCTGGCAGTCATTCATGTGACTTGGATCTGCAGACTGTTCAAGCCCAGACTCTGCCACATGGCTACTCAGCATCTCTGAAGGCATTGCCACGGTCGGAAAACCATACTAATAGCAGCTACCATTTATGGGGTGCCAGGCACTTTCCTAGCGTCATCAAGTCCAATCCTCACAGTACCCCGGTGAAGACATTCTCTCCTCCTCATCTGCCAGACGCTGGGGCTTGCCTGGGTCACTGAGCTACAGTCAGAGTCGGGGTTCAAACTTGAGGGCGCAACTTAAAGAAAGGTCTAGGTTCCTTTCTACTCTGTTATGTTATTACCGAATATGGAAGATGGGGGTCCTAATACCCACACGACAGAGTTATCTGGAGGATAGGTGAGTATCAGTCCCCATGAAAGCCCTTGGAACGCAGAAGATTCTTTATCAAGGTGTTCTGTCTTTTTCTTTCTACGGTTGTTTTCTCATTCAAATGCCTGCACAGATGTTGCCAGTGTAATAATGATCTAATCGGATTTATTTTCCTTCGGGTTTCCTCCTGGGCCCGTGGCCTGCTGTCCTTGCCATCTTGGAAGTTGGAGGTGAGCAGTGGGGTTGTAGATATCTTTTTCCACTGGGTGTCAACAGTGAGTGGTAAGAACAGATAAGAATAAGATTTAGCCATGTCCCGTGTCCATTTGCTCCCAGAGCCCTGGTCAGAG